AGCAATTACAACGTAATCTGAAGGGACATTTACAGCCCACCTCTCCCACTACTTCCCCTCCCAACCCAGCCTCCAAAGTCCATACTAGAAAGGCAAGCAGGGGAGAGGGGAAGGAAACTTAGTTAAATAACTGCCGTGTGCAGGGCACAGTGCTGAGTGTCTTAAGTGTGTGATACGATTCCATTCTTATGACAACTCTGAGAGCACAATTCTAGTCAGCCTTTCTTTTCTGAAGAGGCTGAGTAATTTATTTAAAGATCACTCAACTGGTCGGTGGCAGAACTAGAATTTGAACTCAAATCTTTTTGAACCAAAGCCCACGCGACATCAATCCTTCAGGTTATTCTAGTAAGAAACTGTACGCAGACAACTATGTTAAATTATGCATGTGTTCTCTGGCAGGGAGATCTGTTCTAGCTTTTCCTTGGGAATATAGTTTAGGTAACTGATGCTTTAATTAGCACAGTCTGCTCTCAGAGGGATGCAAGTAAAGGACAGGTAAGCGTCGATGTGATAGGAGCGCTAGGGAGAACGTCCCAGGTAGCCAGCATTGGGCAGAAGATACTGGAAAAGAAAAGAAAAAAAAAAAAAGCATAGATCCTAGAGTTCAAGAGGCCTTGGGAAAATGTCACTATTTTGCGTAAGGTAGGTTCGCTTTTGAATTTTCTACATGATGCCTGCTCTGTCGTATCCTGCCCTACATGATGCAGTCCTTATGCAGCAGTATTTCCAAAGTTTCCCAAAATCATCTTTCCCTGTGAAACATGAAACCTGTTGACCCAATTCCTTGTTTACACTTGACTCCAGAGTCCACTTCTCATCTACTATTAATGATGCATTTTATTAATAATTCAGCTTCACTTCAGCCTTCCTTTGAGTTTCTGTCCTGCATTCCCAACCCTGATTTCCATGCAAGCTGCAGTAAAACAATGCAGAGACATAAGCAGACAATGATGCTGAAGGATATTCAAGCCACCTCTGCTTGACTCCCACCTGTCTCTGCTCCCTTTCCCCTCTGGCCTCTCCCATGGAGGGGAGGGAACCCAGAACCACAAGGACTCGAAGAGCTGCGTCCTCCTAGTCGATCTTGCTTGCATTTGTTGCACCCAGGGCTGACGATTGAACTGCAAAGAACATTTTCTAGAATCAAGCTCGCCAGTGACTAGAGGTGTACTTTTGCAGCCTCCCTAGGTTTGTTTTCAGGGATGTCTTCCTACTGTGAGCTTGGTTGCCATAGCAACAGCCAAGCTCTGCCTAGCGGAGAGATTCCTTGTGTAATGAGCCTGGAAGACCTTAAGGTGAACAGAGACAACCTTTGTTGTTTTAAGCCTAAAAGACTTAAAATATCGTCCCTTCCTATCAGTTACTAGGGAGTATTTACAACATTTATATTATATTAACCATAAAATGAATTTGACTTGTTATTTCCTTTCAAAAAGCTGGTTAATCTGATCATATGGGACCATCGTGTTCCTGGATCCTTGGGCCACAATGGGGTCTAAAAAAAATCTGATTAGTCACACATATCACCATCCAAAGGTTCTCAGTCTCGCCTCCCAGTTTGTTTGAGTGACATCATGGTCATGGCTCTTCTCAAGCTCTTCTCAGGGCCCGTCAAATCAAATCAAACTCCTAAGCTGGAAAGTTGGGGCTTTCCAACAGTTGGTCCCTCCCCTACAAACCCCCAGAATTTTCTCCTGCTCTAACTCATCGGGTATGGTGTTGGTACCCTTTTGTTTCCCCACTAAATAATACTGATCAGTCCCTGTGGTAGGGATGGTATGACTCGGTTCTGAAGCCTGGCCAGGCTCAGGGACTTCCCTTGAACTTTTGCCAGTACTATATGGGAAGGCAGCTTTTGTCCCAGAGGCTGCTAAGTCGGCAGACCAGGAGCCTTGGGCCATCATGTCCAGCATGTGGAGAAATTCTGTATTAGACTGCCAAGGCTGTCATAAAAGAATACCATAGACTGGGTGGCTTAAACAACAGGCTCTTACTTTTCACGGTTCTGGAGGCTGGAAGTCCAAGATCAAGGTTTCAGCAGGGTTGGTTTCCTGAGGCCTCTTTCCCTGGCTTGCATATGGTCACATCCTGCTGTGTCCTCACATGGCCTTTCCTGTGTGTGTGCTCTCCTGGTGTCTCTGCCTCCTTTTATAGAGACACCAGTCCTATGGGATTAGGATCCCACCCTTATGACCTCATGTAACCTTAATTGCATCCTTAAAGGCCCTGTCTCCAAATGCAGTCACATTGAGGGTTGGGGCTTTAACATGGATTTTGGCAGTACCACAATTCAGATAATAATAAATCCCACCAAAAATCTGGAGAGAAGGGTGGAGACCCAGTGACATTGTTTTAGGCCCTGGATACCATAAGTCAGTCCTACTCCTCTAAATAGTCCATTTTCTTCAGTAATTTTTCTCTTTACTGTACTCTCTTGAATATTTAAACATATTTATATAATGATCACTGCTTGGTCAAGAAAAACAAAGATATAGTGTTTTGGGGGTATTAGAAACTACCAACAATACTTTTTTCATTATAAATTAAGAAGAAATATCATAATCTATATAGGTTTTTGTACATTGCACTTTACTAACAACAGACTCACTGTAGAAATTTCAGTTATTTTACACATATGAATGTGGCCTTAAGAAAACACTTACCTTCTTTAAGCACAATATTTAGAAGATTCAGCTGTTCTAATATCTTACACCTTATCATTAAGCAGAGATGAGAAAATATCAGAATTTAATAAGAATCTGTGTGTTGCTGGGCATGGTGGCATGTGCCTGTAGTCCCAGCTAATCGGGAGGCTGGGACAGGAGGACCGCTTGAGCCTGGGAGTCCTGGGCTGTAGCGTGCTATGCCAATCCAGTCTCTACACTAAGTTCAGCATCAATATGCTGAGCTCCCAGGAGTGGGGAACCACCAGGTTGCCTAAGGAGGGGTGAACTGGCCCAGGTCAGAAATGGAACAGGTCAAAACTCCAATGCTGATCAGTAGTGAGATTGCACGTGTGAATAGCCACTGCACCCCAGCCTGGGCAACATAACGAGACTCTGCCTCTTAAAAAAAAGTCTGTGACGAAAAAAAAGCTTAGACAAACATCAGAAGCAAATTCTTGAAGCTTCTGCTTATAAGTAGAAATATTAATATATATTTCATTTCTATTCGTAAATGGAAAGAACCACAGGTGATACCCCAGCCGGTTGTCTACATTTAAAGCATTAATACTGTATTCAGAGGATCAAATTCACAATATTTATGCACTTTGAGAGGTGAGAAAAAAGAAACATGGAGACTAGCTGAACCATACCTCCCTATGTATGGCCCAAGTCCATCTCCTTAACTGACACCTAGCCTTTAAACCCATTCGTCTGTGCTATAGGATACAATGGCGGGGGTGGGGGGAGGAAGGAAAATCTATAATAACATTTATAATTTATCTAAAGAAAATGCCACCAGAATTATTATGTAGCCTTTATTGCAAAGAAGGCCTTCCACTAGGCTATGCTAAATATATGACTCTAAACTCTGAGCTTTTTAAGCACAGAAAAATGTGCTTTGATCCATCTTTGTGTCCCCTGCCCCTACTACTGTGCCTGGATCCCAGAGGCAGGGATCAAATATATTTTTAAATAAATGGGCATAAAGACACAAGTATGACCTTGAATGACAGTGACAATTTATTAAAGATGTCTGATGAGCTCAAAGTACTCCCAATTTTGAACCCAGATTCCCAAAAGTCATGATAGAATTGGGTTACCCTTGATCGACTGTGACTAAATTTAGAAAAGATGATTTTAGAGGCATCATAAAATTAGATGTCAGAAAATCTGGGTTCCTGTCTTGAGTATTCCACAAACAAACTGTATAACATCATACCAATTGCTTAATCTCTCTGTGTCTTGATTTCCTCATCAATAGATAAAGTTTAAGTCCATTCAAACGCCCCTGTGAGCTCTCACAGTTTATGAACAACTAATTTGAAAATAAAAAAATTTAAAGTTTCTGCAATCAGGTTGAAATCTACCTTTCCCAATAGATTTTCTAAAATTCATCAGCTCCTATCAGCCCCGTGCCTTGTATACTGGCTTCTGCCCCATTTCCTTCTGCTGAGATGTTCTCTCTGCCCTTCTCGCTTCCCTAATTCCTAGCCATTCTTCAAGACCCAGTCCTATGTCCATCTCCTTGAAGCTTCCAAGAGCACACACACTGGGCTCTATGTGCAGGTATGGGAACCCCTGGTTCTTTTGGATGCTGCCCCCAGCACTCCTCCCACCATATTTTGCAAAGTCCAGCATGGAGTAAAGTGAATATTGTGATTGTCCCCTCCCCTTGCTCCCTCAGGACTTCACACCCTTCGCTTTACTCAATAAAAGATTCCCAAATTTCAAAGCAATGAAGAGGTTGAAGATCTTTATCCTGCAAGTTAGTCACTGATTAGGCGGAAGTGTCTGGCTCCTGCTCGCTCACACTTGTTCTGAACACGCACAATGGTCTTGATCTGTTTAGGGGGTATTTGCAATGGGATGTGGCTGGGCCCAGCTGTCAGTCAGCCTCTGCATTTCATGCATAGCCCTCAGGAAGACAACTGAGGAGTCCAAAGATTGAGAAGTTAAGCAAATTTATTTAAAATAATCTTTGACTTTCTCGTTACCAATGTATATGTGTTTTCAGTAAAGTTATAAAAACAACTGGAACATATGCTACAACAATTTTCAGTGTCATCCACAGCAACTCATTTTAGAGAATTGTCTTATTCTATCCCATGTCTTGCTTACGTGGCATTAAACCTACTTTTCAGATATGAAATATATTTATGATTCTGTCTCAAAATAAAAAACCAAAATTTGATATTAAAACTCCCAGCTACATGTCACACTAATTCATGTGGGTGAATCTTCTGATACCATAATATTACAATGCTCAGGGTGTCAAAGCAAATATCTGCCCCACCCCATGCCTACCCCAAAAAGAAATGAGAGAGACTTTTGTAGGTTGCAAGTCCTGGTCTGGTTTATTTATAAAGCAATAAATATTAGAAGCACAAACAAATTGCACGTGTGTAAACAAACTGTACAATGATTGATGAGAGATGAGGGAGGGTGGTTCGGAAGACTCCGAGAAGCGTAATACTGTCATCCTGAATGTAAGATAGACTAGGAGAGAAGGCATCTTAGAAGCATTTGCGGTGGACAATGGATGGGCCTGCCTCGTCATACTCTTGCTTGCTAATCCACATCTGCTGGAAGGTGGACAGAGAGGCCAGGATGGAGCCCCCGATCCAGACAGAGTATTTACGCTCAGGGGGAGCAATAATCTGTAGAAAGAAAACAAAAATTTCCAGTGAACTCTGAAGTTGTAAGCCAGGGAGCAAGCAACATGTTGGGAAGATGCACAGAAAACGTATTAGACACTAATTCACTGTAATGTGGGATACTTCATGCCACAAAACAATATGGCCAATCGATTTTCTAAACTTTCCTCTATTTCATTATTTCCATTATTAAAGACATGGTACATTATTAAAATAGAATTTCTCCACTTCTCTGAACTAGAGTATAATGTGTCAACAAGTTAAGTGCATGATGCATGTTAGCCCAAAATTTGGGAGCTTTTAAATGTGTTCAAAGATTTAGTTGTATTTTTTCTTGTCAAAGATTTATTTTTATTCACTGCTTAAAAGCACTTTTAAAGTTTCCTATCTTGGGAAATGTGCTAGAAAAAAAATCAGAAAAAGTGCTAAAAACAAGTGCTATAAAAACTAAAAGGTAAAGTTTATAGGAAACAGGAAGCTAAATGTGAGGAGAAAGGAGTTAGGAAGGAGATTCTGCCCAGAATATCAAGACCTGCCTTGGCTCTCCCACCCCCAAAGTGCTTTACCTTAATCTTCATGGTGCTAGGGGCCAGGGCAGTGATTTCCTTTTGCATACGATCAGCAATACCAGGGTACATGGTGGTGCCTCCAGATAAAACATTGTTGGCATACAGGTCCTTGCGGATATCAATGTCACACTTCATGATGCTATTGTAGGTAGTTTCATGGATGCCAGCAGATTCCATACCTAGGAACAAGTTAAAAAAAAATCACAGTGCATTCAGGCCAGGGTGGAGGAAAGAGAACAAGCCTCCTCTGTGTTGGTAAGCTATCACCATTTGTCTCTGAAACATATGTTCCCCTATAAGATACACTGCAGGGCATATGTGGAACAGGTGTCTGACAGTTAATCCGGAACAGACTGCCAAGAAAAGAACAACTGTGTTTAGCACCTGCTTGGAGTGAACACCTCCTGTAGCCATCATATGCATGGAGATGTACTGGAAAAGGACAAGACATGCATTTAAGTTAAAATGAATGAAATTTTTATTTATAGACTAAAATGAGATCCAGACAGGCTGCCTCTTGGAAATCATTGCTTAAGAAAGATGATAAGTGACACACAAGTGTCCAGTTATTACTAGGAGTAAGATTGTTGTTGCATTTAACCATGAGTAACTTAAAAGTCCAGCTACTCAGTGATGGAACTTATTGGTATAAGTCAGCTCTCTTGAGTAATCGTCCTTTTTCCTGTAGATACATGACATTCAGTGACCACTCTGTCTATCCTTTATTTTGAGATGAACTCAGTATGTCATCCTTTATCATATCACTAGAGCAGAACACAGACTTTCCCTTTAATGAGCCATCAGGACTTGAAGCTGAGCTGTGTGGGACTCCAAGCTATGACTTCTTTTAACTCAAGGGCCCCTTGCTCCTTCCCAATTATAACAGATTTTACTCTGGGAGAGCCTAAGATTTCCAGGGAAAAGTCATGCCTATACTCCAGACCCTACAACTCACCAATGAAGGAGGGCTGGAAGAGCGTCTCAGGGCAGCGGAAGCGCTCGTTGCCAATAGTGATGACTTGGCCATCAGGCAGTTCATAGCTCTTCTCCAGGGAGGAGGAAGAGGCAGCTGTGGCCATCTCATTCTCAAAATCCAGGGCGACATAGCACAGCTTTTCTTTAATGTCACGGACAATTTCACGTTCAGCTGCAGAAATAAGGGGTATCACAGTCAAGATTTGAAAAGTCAATTGTGAGGAGGTAGGCGGATTCATCGAGGGAGAAATAAAAGCAGACTCATGCTATGGCAGATGACACACACACACACTCACCGGTGGTGACAAAGGAGTATCCACGCTCAGTGAGGATCTTCATGAGGTAGTCAGTGAGGTCCCGACCAGCCAAATCAAGACGCATGATGGCATGGGGCAAAGCATAGCCCTCATAGATGGGGACGTTGTGAGTTACGCCATCCCCAGAGTCCAGAACAATGCCTGTTGGGGAAATAGACGAGAATGAGAATCCCTGAGGACACCACCACGGCTTCACCTATGGCAAAGCCTGCTTTTATGCTTGGCTAAGAGATACTAGCAATGGGCATTGATGCAGACAGAAGTAGATCCCTTACACACAAAGAATAAAAATGAGCATCATGGATATTAAATCTGAAGCCAACTACAGCCGTCCTTGTAAATATTGTAGCAGGAAAATTTCCCAAAGACACTTTCAAATGACCATCCCTCTCATCAGCCATTAGCACATCATGTAAGCATTCAGGCGTATTTTTCTTTGCTTACACGTCTCTCTTTTTTGACTCAGACCCTGTAGATAACGTGTGTTCTCCTTGGGGATGTGTGCCCAGGGAATGTGACAGTATAAACACACACCAATGACTGCAGCATTTCAGGATGCTACATTGTGCTGAGCCTCAGTATGTGGCATCACATACTTTAAATAAGGGATAGATCTAACTCCATAAGCTTTCAGCTCTTATAGTTAAGTGTGCTCTGAAACTAACCTAGGGGTACTATTGTTACCTCTTTCTCAGCACAGACACCTTGCCAGAGAGTATGAGGGAAGAGATTATTCCTTTCCCAATCGGGGAATCTAATTCACAGCAAGGTCAATGACTTGGGAATGTGATTGCTCAGTGACTGTCCCCAGGGCCCAAGCATACCTGTGGTACGGCCAGAAGCATAGAGGGATAGCACCGCCTGGATGGCCACATACATGGCAGGGACGTTGAAGGTCTCAAACATGATCTGGGTCATCTTCTCACGGTTGGCCTTGGGATTCAGCGGGGCCTCAGTGAGCAGGGTGGGGTGCTCCTCAGGAGCCACACGGAGCTCGTTGTAGAAGGTGTGGTGCCAGATCTTCTCCATGTCGTCCCAGTTGGTGATGATGCCGTGCTCAATGGGGTACTTCAGGGTCAGGATACCTCTCTTGCTCTGGGCTTCGTCACCTACGTAGGAATCCTTCTGCCCCATACCCACCATGACTCCCTATAAGAAGAAAAAGATGAGAAAATCATGCTTCCACCGTGTCAGGAATATAACCAATGCCTTATCAATTTACATCTAATTGCCCAAGTCAAGGAACATCTTAAACATACCAGAAATAATAAACAATAGGATTTTACCCCAATTTGGAAGAATCATTTAAAATCAACCTTGTACCTTCTCTTCTCCCTCCCCTAAAGATGTACAACTCTATTGTTTGGAATATAACTAAAGGGAAAAAAGGAAGCTGTTTCACTGAAGAAGCACCTCATTTTTAAAATAGCATAATGCCTTCATTAAATTATTAAGCTCATCACCCATGTCAATCAGAATATAGATAACTACATTTTGGAATGACTGCATTAATGACATTGTATTTCTCCTAAGAAAAGATTTTGACATTCATCAAGTGAACATATAAAGATGGGCTGATATGCCGTTATCACCCCAACAGTGAAAACCAGCCTGTCCAGAGGTGTCCTGGAACACCTGTCATTCACCAGCACTGAGGACTACAGCTCTCCTCCTTGGCAGCCTGTCTGGCCAGGCATGTGACAAACCCAGAGAGCATGGCGTTTCTTTTAATAAACGAGGTGGTATGTCACTATCACCATGGCACTTGCTGCCTTTGTCACGCCTGACTTCTAAAAATGCAACAGCCAGGAAGGAGATAGATTACATCTTTGGGGAGCCCTGCAAACTGGCTGTGAACAAGAGAGAGGAATGTGGCTTGGGTGCCGGTTGGTTGGGAGAGGTTATGCTGTAATAAGTTTTGAGCAGGACTGAAACTGAAGGGCAATGAAGAAAGCCAAGTGAATAAGAGGCAGAGGAGAAGACGATGAGACCTAAAAATCCAGAAGGCCATGAATGGAGAGAAGCTGGCAGCTTTTCATACCGGGGAGTGGGGCCCTTTGAGAGGTGTGCCGCTGAAGTGGACTGGGGGAAAGTGTGCATTTCTTGGTATGTTGCGGTTTGGTGGGGTATTGCTTGTCTTGGCTTGGATTTGAAACCGATCCAACTTTTCCTAACTTGACCTAAAGAGTCATGAAACAGGAAGGTCGGGTGAGACGTTTTCCTAGATCTCTGGACCAAGGAGGTGGCAGGAAGGGGCGTGGAACGGGGCTGGGGACTGCCCCTGCTTGGAGCAGGCCAGGCCAGGCGGGAAGCTTACCTGGTGGCGCGGGCGGCCCACGATGGAAGGGAAGACTGCACGGGGCGCGTCATCGCCTGCGAAGCCGGCCTTTACCAGCCCAGAGCCATTGTCGCACACCAGGGCGGTTGTCTCCTCGTCGTCACACATCTTGGCACAGCTTCAGCGGGGTCTGCAGGTTGAAGAAGGGAGGGCGGCCACGCTCAGCTACCTGTGGAGCTGACCTTCGCACCCGGAGGAGGGGGCAGAGCAAAGGGGAATTCGAGGCATTGGCGGAGGAGGGCAAATGCCTGCCATCCCCTCTCCTCCCCTGCAGGCATGAAAGAGCGGGAAGAAGCCGCGGAGGAGTTGGGAGAGGTGCGCAGAGAAGGGGAGAGGAGCACACCCAGGCTCCCTGCCAGGAGTCTCACCCTCTGCCCCAGATGCAAGAAAGGACAGTCCTGGCGACCCAGGGAAACCCAAGCCCTTAGCAGGTCCTCCCCAGCCCTTTGGGTTTTCGCCTTTTCAGGAACTATCCACACTCCGATGCCTGTGCCCCAGATGGAGGGAAAGCTCAGGAGAGCAGGGCTGCAAGCGCCCCTTCCGCGCGCCCGCCTCCTGCGAGGCCCGAGACCCAGGCCAAGGCAAGTTAGAACCAAATCGAAAAGTCTGGGCTTTAAAAAAGTGACTGGAGCAGCAGGAGCGCGGGGCCTGGGCGGGCCGGGCGGGAGGAGGCGCAGGGGCGGGCGCGACTCACCGTCCGCGGGCGGCTCGGCTCGGCTGGGCGGCTGCGGCGCTGGGTGACGGCGCCGGGCGCGCCGCTTTATAGCGCGCTGATGGACGGGGTCAGTTGGAGCAGCTGGGGGCAGGGGTGGGGGGCCCGGTCTGCCACCTTGCCTTATTTGGTCGCCTTCGCACCAGCTAGGACCGCTGAGGCCATTCATGGAGCCAAGGGCAGGGGAGAGGATCACCCGGGCCCCCAGACCATGTAAGGAAGGGGAGGGGGCAGCCAGGGGCATGGCCAAATAGGGAGCTAGGGAGGGGCAGCGGTGAAGGGGTAGGGGGCAGGGGAAGACTAAGCGACGCCACCCCGCCCCCCTCCCCTTCCTGGGGTGGGGGTGCTCCCTGGATGTGCTGTGGATTCGTTCCTCCGCACCCCGCCAACCTAAGGGACAATAAGCCACATGCGAGTGGGAAGGCTTGGCGCCCTGCCCTCTGCTGAGGGGTCCTGACAGCTGGGCAGGGCAGCAGGGGAGCGACAGCAGCTTCTCATCTTCCAGGGCTGGGAGCTGGAGGAGCAGAGCCCTGGCAGCTCTCATGGGCACAAAGGACACCACGGCAGCACATTCGAGTGCCTGGCAAAGGCGCACCTGGCACAGGGCACCCTTCTGGTCTAGCCCCCACCAGCCTGATGGCTTTATTCAGGGTGCTGGGATGAATCAAGGTCACCAGGGTCCCAGCCCATGCATGGGTCTGGGTCTGGCCAGGGAGGAGGCTGACAAGGGTTGCTGTGAGAGCTTGGCCAGGTCTTGCTGGAGAAGGGACCAGGTGCACCCGAGCCCACATATTGGGTAGCCCTTATCCATGCTGGGGGATTTTGCTCAAACTCGGACTCTGATCTTTAGGCCTGAAGAGGATCCGCTGCTGCCAACGTGAATGAAGGAACACATGACGGAAGCAGCTTGCCCGCTTGCTGGTGGATAGATGAACGTCCTTCAACTGGGGCCAAGGCCTTCGTTCCAGGTGGAGACAAGACTGAAAAGGAAAATACTCTTGTCTAGAAGATAAGAGCAATTTAAACCACATAAACCCATCAACCCTCCATACTGAGAAAACAGTGTGTGGACAAGTAGTATGGTCATAACCCGAGAATGAGCTAGAAATGCAGAGTCTCACCCCAATCTGCTTTTCAGCAAGATCCCCCTTGGTTGATATATACATTAAAGTGTCAGAAGCATTGGTATAAATGACTGATGTCGTCTCCTTCACAGAAAACATATTTTGCAGGATCTTGGACGTTTGAGAAGGAAAAAGAAAGTTGACATAAAATGAGAGGGGGAAGAAGGAGGGAGACATAAGAAGGACACAGATCACTAGATTGCCCTGGGGTGCCCTGTATTCTCAGTTCCCGACTGGCGCTTTGATTTTTAATGCTTGTGTTTTTCCTCCAGTTCACACCAGTTAAAAATAGAAGACTGGGCACAGGCATCCCTCTATAGAGTGGTCTTGGATTGATATGCTGAGGAGGCCTGCTGATTAGATACGTGTCTGGACTGGGGAATGCTGGGCCCTCCCCTCTGCGCTCCCCAACCATGTTTGGGTTGGACTGGAGAGGAAACTGTGGGGGAAGCTGGGGGATGCGGCCAGGTGAGAGGCCCTGCTGGGATCATGCCCTGCCCCACAACAGTCATCTTACAGTGAAAATGCCTATTGACAGGATGCAAAGAGTGGCTCATGCCACCTCTTGGCTCATGCCAATGCAAAAGAACCAAGGAAAAGGAGATACAGGACTGGTGTCAGAGCCAGAGAGCCCTGGGTTCAAATCCTGCCTCTAACACTTGCTACTTATTCTCTATTTTGTCTTAAGCAAGACAACTTTCCTGACCCCCAATTTTCCCCTCTGAAAAGAGACAAAATAACTTTTCTCGCAGGGGTTATCGAGTATGGTAATAATTAGAGACAAATAATATGTCACATAGCAGATACAAAGCAAATTGTACTATTACAATTCAGTAATAATGATGCTTTTGGAGGCAGTAGTAACTCTCTGTTTTTGAAGAATGGGGTCAATTTCATCCATTCGTTGATTCAGCGAATATTTATAGGACAAGAACTGTGCTAGTCACAGGGATTCAGAGTCGGACTCATCTCCGTGGCAATTGCTGAAAAGTCAGAGACAGTTATGGCACGTGCAGGGAAGGAAAAGGAGGTACCACTGGGATAGTCACCAAAAGGCGAGGGGAGTCTCAAAGAGGGTTCAAAGAAGGTCTTCCTGAGGAAGTGTCATTTACTTGTTTTTAAAGTAGAGCAGAACTGAAGTTCATGAACATTTGTATGAATAAAGACAGTTTCTACTTGGGACTGGCTGATGAGAGAGTCCCACATTCACTGCTATAGGTGCAAAGGCTCCCAGGAACTGAACTCCATGATTACTGATCTGAGTCCTTTGCAAATACTTGCAGGGTTCAGGAAGCCAATTCTAGCCCACTCAGCCAAGGATCGTGGCTCTAGTTGGGGGTGGGTAGGCTAGTGGAGGACTGACACCAGTTTTGTGAAACAATATTCCCCCTTAAAATGTTTTAAAAATACGTTTTCTATTCCATTCAATTTCATTTGCTAACAAAGTATATTTTCATACGTGTTACGTTTATAGTAAGAAAGAACACTTTTTTCTTAAAACTTTATTGTATTTACTATTTGTATTACTGCTTGATTTCCACATTTTAAAAACTTTGAACCCTATTGTACATATTTTAAAATATAAGTCAATGGTTAAATAAGATTTCATGACTGATATTTATTTAACAAAACTTTTCAGGGATCCATTTAGTTTAAAAATTGAGATTGGCTTTTTATGTGTATTTTCTTCAGCATATAAAAATGACTTATCCTCTCTGTGGGTGCATTCTAGATTATTTTTTTAAAGTTGTGGTAAAATACATGTAACGTCAAATTTACTATATTAACCATGTAAAAGTGTACAGCTCTGTCATGTTCAGTAAATTCACATTGTTTTGCAATCTGCCAATGTTATTTTTTAATGCTGATTTTGACTAAATTGATTTACAAACCCAGGAATGGCTTGTGTCCTACAGTTCGAGAAAGACTGCTTCTATCCTATGAGGTGGGAAACCATAGAGCCTGTTCTGGCTGAGGTCACACAGATGAGCAAAGGGTAGAGTGAACATGTAAACCCCAGGTACCTGCCTTTAGGCCGTGTTCCTAACTATCACTCAAAATGCCTTCCCATCTCCTTGGACTGCTCTTTCTCATAATGTGAGGCTAGAATCACCTGCAGCCAGATTACCTGGGCTGTCTGACACAAATTCAAACTTCCAGCCTCCACCCTGGAAGATTCAATCTGCATTTTAAATGAGCCCTACCCCTCTTCCCCAGGTAAGTTCCTCCCCAGCAGCACTGCCTGGCTGGCCTTTCTGAAGCCGGTGGAGCTTTGCTGGATGCCGCCTAAGCTGCCAGTGCTGGCCAGAGTCCAGCGTGGCTGACCTTGCGTACCCCCGTGGGACAGCAAAGCTGGGGCTGGTCCCCAGAGCTCTACGGGGCCAGCGAGGCCCTTCTCAGCACCGACAGGCCATGAGGGAGACGTGCAGGGCAAGCTGAAGGAACAGAAGGTGGGACAGTTCTGCTGCCCTTGCCTCGGGGGAAGCCTGTTTCATCCACCATCTGCTGGGATCTGGAAGGGAGCGGCCCAGCCTCCTCCCCAGCACTGGGGGATTAGCAGTCACTTATCTCAGCTGTTCCTCTATTCTGAGGTGTTGCAGTATTTACAGAGAAGCCAGAAACAGACTGAGCCACACTTAATTCCTCCCCGTGAGCCCTCCCGTCCCCTCCTGTCCCTCTTGCATTCCATGTGCTAGGAGGGAGGCACAGGCTCTTTCTAGATCAGTCCAGGAGTTGGGGAGCTAGCCTTCCTAAACATTTCTATTTTCTTTCCCTACACATTTGCTCACCCCCCACTGCCCTCTGGCTGGAGCTGGGTTTCGGTTTTCATTAAAAAAAGAAAATGACATGACTGTGAGGGCTGCAGGCCCCACACATCCTGGTGCTCAGAATCCAACACCGAGGCATGGCTAATCTTCACCGCACATTGCCCTGTGTTTTACATGCAGCCACCAAGGAGATTAACCCAGGGAGAGGGCATTTTGGCCCCAAATGGATTCTGTTCTTGGCAGATTCCAGCAATCACCGTCTTCTGACATGATAGGACCAACTGAAATGAACCATTTCATAAGATTCAGAAGGCAGGAGAAAGGGGGGACATAGAAAGGAGATGCTTCTGGATCCTGGAGTCCATGGCCTTAATTATCTAAAGGCCACATTTGTACTTTCCTCTATCCTGGTATAAGTCAGAGAAATCAGAAAAGATTTATAGGTAGCCTTTTAATTCCTTAAAAGGATTTGTCCTTCAGGAATGAAATGCTCCTGCTCACAGGCTTCTGCTTGGAAGGTATTCCTCTTAGCTCAGATTTGGCTTGCTCCCCACATGGGCAGGGACTCTATTTATGGAGTTGCAGTTTTTCAAGTGTCACCTGGAGCAAGTCCACCTTTCCTGGAGAGTGCAAACATGGCAATGTCCGACCTAAGCCTGACCTACCAGCAGAAGGGCTGGAGGGCCTGAGAGGAGGTGAGAGCTGTGAGCTCAGAGACTCCTGAAAGCCACTTTCACGCACCTACATGATGTGGAACCCATCTCTTCCCCATCAAAGACAGGGCACACACCTGACACATGACTTCAGTGACAGCAATACCAACTGTTGACATGTATTGCCAGTTTCCTAGGGGCTGGCACTATCCTGAGATTCACTTTGTGTGTATGGTCAGCATGGTCAACTTCTAGATGAAGCTGGACAGACTGCCAGCTGCAGTACCCATTTTTACGGAGCTATTCTTCGATGTGATGTCAACAGCCTATAGCAAGGGGCTGTGTAAGAAATAGGTCACTGCCTCTATTGTAAGGATGTTGTCATGGATGTTCATCATAGGACACGATCTTCTTTATGAGCCTCTTGGGAGAATTTCCTGTTTGACCCTAATACCAAGAACAGTAGCATTTCTACCAACCAGCTAGTTTGTTTAGATTCTGTGGTCCCTGAATCCAGTGGCCAACCAGGTTTCACTTTGGTGGTGGCTAAGAAAAATCTTAGAAAACCACATATGTGGCCCAGTTGTTAACGTGATGACAGGTCATTGTGATCTAT